GCAGGGTAGATTGATCTTAGTAGGATAATAAGTCAGCACAACATTGTGGGCCGAAGGGCCTTTACTGTGCTGTACTGTTCTATGTTCTATGAAGATGCAAGAAATGGAAGGATATGGACCAATGGCACACGGAAAGGATTAGTTTAATCTAGTGTCATGTTCAGCACAACTTTGTGGGCCAAAGGGCCTATTCCTGTGCCGTACAGTTCTATGTTCTATGTTCTAAGGCACTTCGCAGCAGGTTGCTGAAATGTCACAGGTGTGACTTTGTTGACCAATCTTTTAAATCAAACAAAGGCCAACATTTTTTTGAACTGAAAAGCAACAAGAGAACACAACATAACATTCAAGGACATAAACACTAACTTCAGCACATCATGCACTTGAGACTCGAAAGGCATTCCACAGACATGAGCCTCTGAATCTGGGCCAACACTTACAGTGTCAGTGCTGAGGGACCGCTGCACTGTCGGAGGGTCAGTGCTGAGGGAGTGGGCACTGTCGGAGGGTCAGTGCTGAGGGAGCACCGCACTGTCGGAGGGTCAGTGCTGAGAGAGCGCCGCACTGTCGGAAGGTCAGTGCTGAGGGAGCGCTGTACTTTCGGAGGGTCAGTGCTGAGGGAGAACCATAGTTTCGGAGGGTCAGTGCTGAGAGAGTGCCGTACTTTCGGAGGGTCATCGCTGAGGGAGCGCCGCACTGTTGGAGGGTCAGCGCTGAGGGAATTTATTTACAGACATTAATTAGAGCAGGGGGGAGAGAGGGCGAGAGGGGTGAGAGGTAGACCGGCGGAGAGGGAGACCGGGGAGAGAGGGAGAGGGGGATGGGGAGAAAGTGAGCGGGAGAATGAGAGCGGGCGAAGGAGTGCAGGAGGAAGAGAGCAGGAAACCTCATGGCATGTAAAAAATATACTTAGATGAGCACTTGAAGTATTGTAACATTCAAGACTGTGGGCCTAGTGCTGTAATGTGGGACAAGTGTAGACAGTCGTGTATTTTTGCCAGTACATACTAAATGGGCTGAAGGGCCTCTTCTGTACTGTATGATTCCGAGACACAGTTGAGCTGACGAGGACGGCTACACATGAGGGGAAGCTGGAGTGAGGCATGATGGTCAAAGTAACAGACAGTGTGTCAAGAGGGTGAGGATGAAGAAGAGTTGAGGGGAGGGGGTGATTGTAAGCAGGGTGATTGCCAAAGGTAAACAGGGACCAGCTGGGCAGAGTGGCCTGTTACTGTGCTGTGAACACTTGGTGATTCAAAGCTATAATTAGGGCTGGTACTTGTGAGTTGAAGTAAACACGAACCTGCATTCTAAACCAAATATTTGGAGAGACAATGTGCTTGCATTTGCCAGAAATAGCTGGCAAGAGAACTGTAAAACTTAACAAATTAATTCCCACAGGCTCCCAGAGGTGCCATCGGCATGAAACCCTGCAGTGAATAAAGGAACAGTCTGCAGTCTTTCTCATTGGCATCTCGCACTCTTGTCTCTGAAAACTCTCCCACTGCCACCATTACAATCACACTGTCTACTTTAACTGGCAGTGCGCCACTCTCACCTCCCCTACTAGCCATTGGCATGGCTGACAACTACACAGTGGCAAACGGTATAACCAGAGCCAGTGGCCAGTGCACGCTCTGCCAGACATCCAGAGGCTGGTGAGGGGGCTATATCTGGACCGAATATCCCAGACGAGAGAGAAGGTGGTCTGAAGTGAGATAGACAGAGAAAAAAATATCAAGAGCTTGCTGTCCCAGTGTGACCCTGCTGTAACACACTCACTGTCACACTCTCTCTCTGTCCCAGTGTGTTCCTGCTGTAACACACTCACTGTCACACTCTCTCTCTGTCCCAGTGTGTTCCTGCTGTAACACACTCACTGTC